TGATGGTTTCTAAATTAGCTGTTACCACTCAAGAATGATCTTGGAGTCATTGTGAACAGGTCGCTGAAAAACATCCACTCAGTGTTCAACAGTAGTCAAAAAAGCTAAAAATGTTAGGAATCATTAGAAGAGGGATAGATAAGACAGAAAATTTCACAATGCCACTCTATAAATCCATAGTACTCCCACACCCTGGAATACTGATGGGAGTTTTGGAAACCCCATCTCAAAAAAAGAGATACAGTATGTTAGAATTGGAAAAGGTACAAAGAAGGGCAACAAAAATTAGTAGTGTGTGGAACAACTTCCATATGAGGAAAAATTAGAAAGACTGCAGCATGGGGGGGGAAAAAAAGATTACTTGGGGGGATATGATAGAGGTCTATAAAATCATGAATGGTATAGAGAAATTATTTTATTCAATGTTATTTACACCCTCCACCCCATGTAACACAAGACCCAGGGGTCACACAATGAAATTAATAGGCAGCAGGTTTAAAACAAACAAAAGGAACTACTTCACACAAAGTGTGTAGTCAACCTGTGGAACTCATTGCCAGGGGATAGTTTTGGCCTTCACAACATAACAGGGTTCATAAAAGAACAAGATAAATTCATGGAGGGTAATTCCATCAATGGCTATTTGCTAAAATGATCAGGGATACAACCCCATGCTCTGGGTGTCTAGCCTGACAGAAGCTGGGAGGTGATGGATCACTTTGATAATTGCCCTGTTCATTCCCACTGAAGCACCTGGCATTGGCCACAGTAAGGAGACAAGATACTGGGCTAGATGGACCTTTGGCCTGACTCACTTTAGCCTTTCTTATGAAAACACTAAGGCTACATCTACACTATAGAGTCCATAACAACATAGCTATGCTGGCATAACCCTCTGGTATATATGCAGCCTACACTGACGAAGAGTTTTCCTCTTGGTGTAGGAACACCTTCTCCCTGAACGATGTTAGCTATGCTAACAGAAGTACTTCTCTTTTGCCAGAGCTACATATACATTGTGGATTTTGTCAGCCCTGACTGACTAACTGTAGACCAAGCCTAAAAAGCAGCTGTCAAGCTTGGATTCCCTAGGGCAGAACTGGGTTAGTGAGTGAAGCCCAAAGTAATGCTCTTCAGTCATTTTATCAAACATAACAGGGAGTTGGATGGAAGGAGGGATATAGAACTGTACAAAACAAAATATTTTGCAGCCTGCTTCCATAGCCATTTGTTTAGCTATGAAGTAGAGGTGCTCTAGTACATAGGGTTAGCATAGTTCCTTAAGATATGATAAATACAAAGCAGATACTCCCCAAAGGTTAACGGCTACAACCGATGCTTGTATTGAGTACTACTGCATCAGTGCCAAAGCTATTTTTCATGATCACCCTTTATGTATCTAATTGTATTTTTGAAAAGATACTTAAACTTGAACAAGTGATCTATTTCAATTGCCAGACGAAATCAGATATCTGACTGCTTGACAGACCTTTTTGTCCAATAGATTTTACCATTGGATTCTGGAGTGAACTTCCTGTTTTCACATATGCCCTTAGAATGTGTAATTAATTAATTCCTCACTAAGCTTTTTGTGTGCGTTTCCTGCAGTCCCCTGAGATGGTGTGGTGTCCTTGCTATCCCAACTGCTGCTACAGAGATTATTAGAATGCTTGTCAGTTTGGTGTACTTTCTGTAACAGAAACTGAAAGTGTTTAAATACTCTTATACTGGAATTGCTTGGATAGGCAGCCTCTGATTTTGCAAGAATTGACAGCTAATACAGCTACCCACTAGGAACAGCAACAAATTTCTCTCTCAAGTCTCAGTTTTTAAATGTCACTGTTCCACTATTGATTTATAGCACTCCTTTCATAACAGGTCCCACCAGAGTGGTGCACATGAAATAAATATTCTATATCCACAGCATTGCTTTTTTCTTGACTGAAGCCAGACTACAGCGAAACATTATAAGTGATGCTCTTTGTGTAAGGGATTAACTAAATCAAACTTTTGGGGCTTTTCAAGCAGCAGTCATCTTGCTTTAGACAGAAGATTGTGCAGTGTGTTGAAAATACATTTACATTTCTCTGAAAGATCATGGTTAGACAGTCTAATTTTATATATTTGCATAGAAAGCCTGCAAGTGTGTTGTCTGCTTACAAGTGCACTTTGAATTTGCCTCCCAATGTTTCACCTGATTGCTTTAACGTCATGAAAGACACCTGTTATATAACAAATGAGGTTTTCAGTGCACAAATCAGGAAACTCAGTTACACAGCAAATTTAAGATTGCTGTTTGAGTTACATGCTGACGCAATACACCGTGGTCACCAAGTCAGGATTTGCCAATAGTTGTGTCTGAGACAAGTGTTAATTCCTATTCTAAATATAGGATGAGATGTGTCTTGATGCAAGACTTGTGGAGCTTAGGAGCTCTTTAGGTCTGCTGAGCTGCAGGTAGGGAGCCTGGGGAGGGAAGCTCGCTGTTGAGCTGCATGAGTGATAGGAAGTGTCAGAGTTCAACTCGCTACGTTGGGGTCTGTTGAGGTGCTGCTGATGGTGGCTGTCACTTCATCTCTAGTCCCTAGGGCAGACAGTCTAGTCTGGCACATGCTGTACTAGTTGGCAGTGGTATTCAACAAATTCACAGGTTTTGTGATTCTCCACCTATTAACTGAGCCCCAGGACTTAGCTTTGGTCTTTGCCAAGGGGAAAAATAATTTACCTTACCATACGGTAAGAAATCACCGTTCTGTTGTCATGCTACAAAGTGCCTAGCATGATGGGGGTCTGACCTTTAGGCACAACTGCAATACAAATAAATAATCCTCCCACAAAGAGGCTATTGGCCCTCCCTGGAAAAATGGAGGGGCCAAAAAGGAACTAAGGGTCAAGTAATTACTTGGAGAATTCCAGGGCAAAGATCAGAGTGTGGACAGAGGTTGAACAGAAGAGGGACACTGATTAGATACCCCAGACAATGCAGACACTCCATTTGACCTCTGGAAAGGGTGTGGAGGCCCAGGAGCAATGATTGCCTCCACCGCAGAAGTGAGGTTATATCAAATAGATGGAGATCAATTAAATGTCTTGTACAAATATGGAGGGGGGATGGTGTTATAGGAACAAGAGAACCAGAGGAGATCACCAAGCAGAGGACCCGGCCCCAGACTGAATCAGATTTGTGCGTAAAAAGCATCTTACGTTTTATCTATGAACAGGTAGCAAGTTCAGAAACTACATTAACTATCCATGCAATAAACTCTTACTTTGGGAACCTCCATACTTTCTTTAAAAACTGATCTTCTGAAGCTATAGAAAGAGTTAAAATTAAGTCATTTGCCCAGTGCTCAAACATATTTAACACTGACAACTTTCCACGCAATTTCCAATACCTGGCCATGGAATAGAAATTGAAGGTTTCAGTGGGTAATGTTACTGTGCATTATAAGAACAGTTCATATCTGGAGAAATATTATAAGCGATTCATAAGCTTTAAAAAAGTAAAACAATGTATAAAAGCAGATTTTTAACATTAAAACAATTCATATGGTAGAAATGAAAATATGGAGCTGGAAGGGTCCTCAAAAATTCATCTAGTCCAGGCCCTTCATTGAGACAAGACCAAGTAAATCTAGACCATTCCTGACAGGTGTTTGTCCAGCTTGTCCTTAAAAACCTCCAGTGATGGGGATTCTACAATGTCTTCCACTGCATAAGTATCCTTATAGTTCACAAAAGCTTCTAATATTTAACCTAAATTTCCCTTGCTGCGGATTAAGCCCATTAGTTTTTGTCCTACTTTCAGTAGACATGGAGAACAATTGATCCCTATCCTCTCTATATCACATCTCCCCCTTTGTCTCCTTTCCTCAAGGCTAAACATACCCAGTCTATTTGTTTAACTTTTCCTTTTGGTCAGGTTTTCTAAACTTTTGATCATTTTTGTTGCTCTCCTTTGGACTCTCTCCCATTTGTCTATGTCTTTCTTCAAGCGTGGCACCCAAAACTGAACGCAATACTCTTGCTAAGGCCTTACCAGTGCTGAGTAAAGCAGGACACTTCTGTTTATACACCCCAGAACAATATTAGCCTTTCTGCAACTACATCACATTGAATACAACAATTTGTAATCTACAACAACCCCCAATTCTTTTCTGCAGTACTACTGCCTACCCAGTTATGCTCATTTTGTATTTGTGCATTTGAATTTTCCTTCTTAAAATGTACTACTTTGTCATTTTGTTGATTTCAGAGCAATTGTCCAGTTTATCAAGGTCATTTTAAATTCTAATCCTGTCCTCCACAGTGCAACATCTCTCAGTTTACCGTCATCCACAAATGTTATCATAATTTTCCACTCCACTCTCCAAGTCATTAAAAAGATATTGATTAGTACTAAACCAATACATCCTCCCAGCTTGACAGCAAACCATTGATAAACTACTCTTTAAGTACAGTCTTTCAACCAGTTGTGTACCCCACCTTACAGTAATTTCATCAAGACCACTTTTCAGAAAGGCAATATCTTGAGGGAATTAAAGATTTTTTTTTAAAGTCTGTGCCATTTCATTTAAATGGACATTATGAAAATCCTTTAAGTTTGCTTACAATGCACAACCCCTACAGGTTTGAAATTTGAACTTCCAATAAGTGTTCTCCTTCTTACCGCACATTAGGGATGAAATTCAGAGAAGGGATTGACTCTTAGGTAAAATCCCCAAGTTGCCAGTGAATATTCTAATACACTTTGGGACCATGTGGGGCTCCAGTGGCATTTTTCCCTGAGACATAAGGGTTAGCTGCTTCACTGCCCTCTCTGTTAGCCCTGGTCTACACTAGGACTTTAGGTCGAATTTAGCAGCATTAAATCGATGTAAACCTGCACCTGTCCACACGATGAAGCCCTTTATTTCGACTTAAAGGGCTCTTAAAATCGATTTCCTTACTCCACCCCTGACAAGTGGATTAGCGCTTAAATCGGCCTTGCCAGCTCGAATTTGGGGTGCTGTGGACACAATTCGACGGTATTGGCCTCCGGGAGCTATCCCAGAGTGCTCCATTGTGACCGCTCTGGACAGCACTCTCAACTCAGATGCACTGGCCAGGTAGACAGGAAAAGAACCGCAAACTTTTGAATCTCATTTCCTGTTTGGCCAGCGTGGCAAGCTGCAGGTGACCATGCAGAGCTCATCAGCACAGGTGACCATGATGGAGTCCCAAAATCGCAAAAGAGCTCCAGCATGGACCGAACAGGAGGTATGGGATCTGATCGCTGTATGGGGAGAGGAATCCGTGCTATCAGAACTCCGTTCCAGTTTTCGAAATGCCAAAACCTTTGTCAAAATCTCCCAGGGCATGAAGGACAGAGGCCATAACAGGGATCCGAAGCAGTGCTGCGTGAAACTGAAGGAGCTGAGGCAAGCCTACCAGAAAACCAGAGAGGCGAATGGCCGCTCCGGGTCAGAGCCCCAAACATGCCGCTTCTATGATGAGCTGCATGCCATTTTAGGGGGTTCAACCACCACTACCCCAGCCGTGTTGTTTGACTCCTTCAATGGAGATGGAGGCAACACGGAAGCAGGTTTTGGGGATGAAGAAGATGATGATGAGGAGGAGGTTGTAGATAGCTCACAGAAAGCAAGCAGAGAAACCAGTTTTCCCGACAGCCAGGAACTGTTTCTCACCCTGGACCTGGAGCCAGTACCCCCCGAACCCACCCAAGGCTGCCTCCTGGACCCGGCAGGCGGAGAAGGGACCTCCGGTGAGTGTACCTTTTAAAATACTATACATGGTTTAAAAGCAAGCATGTGAAAGGATTACTTTGTCCTGGCATTCGCGGCTCTCCTGGATGTACTCCCAAAGCCTTTGCAAAAGGTTTCTGGGGAGGGCAGCCTTATTGCGTCCTTCATGGTAGGACACTTTACCACTCCAGGCCAGTAACACGTACTCGGGAATCATTGTACAACAAAGCATTGCAGTGTATGTTTGCTGGCATTCAAACAACATCCGTTCTTTATCTCTCTGTGTTATCCTCAGGAGAGTGAGATATAATTCATGGTCACCTGGTTGAAATAGAGTGCTTTTCTTCAGGGGACACTCAGAGGAGCCCATTCCTGCTGGGCTGTTTGCCTGTGGCTAAACAGAAATGTTCCCTGCTGTTAGCCACAGGGAGGGGGGGAAGGTTGAGGGGGTAGCCACGCAGTGGGGGGAGGCAAAATGCGACCTTGTAACGAAAGCACGTGCTATGTATGTAATGTTAAGAGCAAGGTTTACCCTGAAAGAGAGTGTAGCCACTGTTTTATAAAATGTGTCTTTTTAAATACCGCTGTCCCTTTTTTTTTCTCCACCAGCTGCATGTGTTTCAATGATCACAGGATCTTCTCCTTCCCAGAGGCTAGCGAAGCTTAGAAAGAAAAAAAAAATGCACTCGCGATGAAATGTTCTCCGAGCTCATGCTGTCCTCCCACACTGACAGAGCACAGACGAATGTGTGGAGGCAAATAATGTCAGAGTGCAGGAAAGCACAAAATGACCGGGAGGAGAGGTGGCGGGCTGAAGACAGGGCTGAAGCTGAAATGTGGCGGCAGCGTGATGAGAGGAGGCAGGATTCAATGCTGAGGCTGCTGGAGGACCAAACCAGTATGCTCCAGTGTATGGTTGAGCTGCAGCAAAGGCAGCTGGAGCACAGACTGCCACTACAGCCCCTGTGTAACCAACCGCCCTCCTACCCAAGTTCCATAGCCTCCACACCCAGACGCCCAAGAACGCGGTGGGGGGACCACCGGCCAACCAGCCACTCCGCCACAGAGGATTGCCCAAAAAACAGAAGGCTGGCATTCAATAAATTTTAAAGTTGTAAACTTTTAAAGTGCTGTGTGGCATTTTCCTTCCCTCCTCCACCACCCCTCCTGGGCTACCTTGGTAGTCATCCCCCTATTTGTGTGATGAATGAATAAAGAATGCATGAATGTGAAGCAACAATGACTTTATTGCCTCTGCAAGCGGTGATCGAAGGGAGGAGGGGAGGGTGGTTAGCTTGCAGGGAAGTAGAGTGAACCAAGGGGCGGGGGGTTTCATCAAGGAGAAACAAACAGAACTTTCGCACCGTAGCCTGGCCAGTCATGAAACTGGTTTTCAAAGCTTCTCTGATGCGTACTGCACCCTCCTGTGCTCTTCTAACCGCCCTGGTGTCTGGCTGTGCGTAACCAGCAGCCAGGCGATTTGCCTCAACCTCCCACCCTGCCATAAACGTCTCCCCCTTACTCTCACGGATATTGTGGAGCACACAGCAAGCAGTAATAACAGTGGGAATATTGGTTTCGCTGAGGTCTAAGCGAGTCAGTAAACTGCGCCAACGCGCCTTTAAACGTCCAAATGCACATTCTACCACCATTCTGCACTTGCTCAGCCTGTAGTTGAACAGCTCCTGACTACTGTCCAGGCTGCCTGGGTACGGCTTCATGAGCCATGGCATTAAGGGGTAGGCTGGGTCCCCAAGGATACATATAGGCATTTCAACATCCCCAACAGTTATTTTCTGGTCTGAGAATAAAGTCCCTTCCTGCAGCTTTTGAAACAGACCAGAGTTCCTGAAGATGCCAGCGTCATGTACCTTTCCCGGCCATCCCACGTTGATGTTGGTGAAATGTCCCTTGTGATCCACCAGAGCTTGCAGCACTATTGAAAAGTACCCCTTACGGTTTATGTACTCGGCGGCTTGGTGCTCCGGTGCCAAGATAGGGATATGGGTTCCCTCTATGGCCCCACCACAGTTAGGGAATCCCATTGCAGCAAAGCCATCCACTATGACCTGCACATTTCCCAGGGTCACTACCCTTGATATCAGCAGATCTTTGATTGCGTGGCTACTTGCATCACAGCAGCCCCAACAGTAGATTTGCCCACTCCAAATTGATTCCCAACTGACCGGTAGCTGTCTCACGTTGCAAGCTTCCACAGGGCTATCGCCACTCGCTTCTCATCTTGGTATTCATGCGCCTCAGGACAGGGGAAAGCAAGTCACAAAGTTCCATGAAAGTGCCCTTACGCATGCGAAAGTTTCGCAGCCACTGGGAATCGTCCCAGACCTGCAACACTATGCTTATCCACCAGTCTGTGCTTGTTTCCTGAGCCCAGAATCGGTGTTCCACAGCATGAACCTGCCCCATTAGGACCATGATGCATGCATTGGCAGGGCCCATGCTTTCAGAGAAATCTGTGTCCATGTCCTGATCACTCACGTGACCGCGCTGATGTCGCCTCCTCGCCCGGTATCGCTTTGCCAGGTTTTGGTGCTGCATATACTGCTGGATAACGCGTGTGGTGTTTAATGTGCTCCTAATTGCCAAAGTGAGCTGAGCGGCCTCCATGCTTGCCTTGGTATGGCGTCCGCACAGAAAAAAGGCGCGGAACGATTGTCTGCCGTTGCTCTGATGGGAGGGGCGACTGACGACACGGCTTACAGGGTTGGCTTACAGGGAATTAAAATCAACAAAGGGGGTGGCTTTACATCAAGGAGTATTTCAGGCAGGACTTCACGGAGGGTTCCAATAAGAAATGGTGCACCTAAGTTATTGTTCTTATTGGAACAAGGAGGTTAGCCTGGCCTCTGATTGATACATGGCTAGATTTACCTCACTGCACCTTCTCTGTGAGTGACTGCAGTGTGACCTAGAGGAATGAGTCCCCTAGACAGGGGAGGAGGCAAATGAGTACAAAACAAATCTGGTCTATTTCTTGTTTTGATCCACTCCATCTATCTTTTACATCTTTGGCTGGCAGCAGACGGTGCAGAAGGACTGCATGCCATCCACATCTCATGGCTGCTCGGCAGAAGATGGTACAGTTCGACTGCTAGCCATCCTCATCTCTTGCCTGCCCGGCAGAAGATGATGCAATAGGACTGCCAGTAATCCGTATCGCCTGCCTGCTCACCATAAGACAGTTCAATAGGACTGACTGCAGGACTAAAGAGAATGACCTGGTCAAGTCACTCCAAATTTAGTCCCTGCGCCCACGTCTGCCCAGGCGCTCCCGGCCGACGTGGCCAGGAGCACCTCGGACACGACGAGAACGGCTACCAGTCGTACTGCACCGTCTGCTGCCAGAAGGCAATGGGTTGCTGCTACTGTGTAGCAATGCCGTACTGCGTCTGCCAGCACCCAGGAGACATACGGTGACGGTTACCTGGGCCGGCTCCATGCTTGCCGTGGTATGGCATCTGCACAGGTAACTCAGGAAAAAAAGGCGCGAAACGATTGTCTGCCCTTGCTTTCACGGAGGGAGGGAGGGAAGGGGGCCTGACTATATGTACCCAGAACCACCCGCGACAATGTTTTAGCCCCATCAGACATTGGGGTGTCAACCCAGAATTCCAATGGGCAGCGGAGACTGCGGGAACTGTGGGATAGCTATCCACAGTGCAACGCTCCGGAAGTCGACTCTAGCCTCGGTACTGTGGAAGCACTCCGCCGAGTTAATGCACTTAGAGCATTTTCTGTGGGGACACACACACTCGAATATATAAAACCGATTTCTAAAAAAACGACTTCTATAAATTCGACCTTATTCCATAGTGTAGACATACCCCTAAAGGCAGTTAGCCCTCCAGCAGCCTATTTAAGGAAGAGAAAGACAGTTGATGGGTTTTGGGGAGTCAATCTAGTCTGTCTACACTGTGGGAAGCTTTTGTTCCACACCAGCAAACTAGACTGAAGAGAGTATGTTTGTTGCTTTCTTTCTCCCTATATGCAAGTCATGGGAGGGTTATGGCCAGCCAGAAAAGGGTTAACCCAAGAAAGAGAATGGACTTTGCAGGGGCTGTTTTTTGTTTCAACACATTCTTGAAGAAAGAAGGATTGGGGCTGTGGGTTGGTTATTTTTATGCAGGACTACACTTAGCTTTGGCTTTTTAAAGATGGGTGGAATTCCAGAGACTATGGCTTGTCCTCTGCCTAATTGACTTGGGTCGCACTCAGAAACAGACTCCCTTTTGGAGAGGGGAAGTAATCTTATTAAGGCAGTAAAGGATTTGGGCACCCCTTCCAGAAATACAGCCTTTGCACAGGTCCTGAGACTGGTGCTCCCAGCTAAAGGAAGGGTGGGACCCCCATTCCACATGATACAAAGGCCATCAAATTAACCAGCCCAAAATTGTGTGCCAAATTCCATCCCCAAGTACACCTGTGACAGTGAGTTTTAGAGCAGAATTAGACCTATTTCTGAGTGCTGAGATGTTTGTGTGGGTTTTGTTTAAGAGAAATTAGATTGACAACTTTAGAAAAGTCACCACACAGACATGCACTTAATTTATTTATTTTTTTATTAAAGTCAGTCAATTGTTGAGCCTACTGAAATGAACAGTCTCTTGATTGTGCTCCCATTGAAGTCAAAGACAGAACTTCCACTGATGTAAATGGGAGCAGAATTAGACAAGTCCTAAAGAATCAAAGCGTATCTAACTTCTAGCTTTGGTGACCCGAGTTCCTGGGCATCTTAACGAATGCTCCCTCTCCAGCCCTAGAACAAAGTGGGTTGGGGTTTTGTTTTTAAGTGTCTGTAGGGCCCAGGAGAAGAGTTGGACTAACACCACCAGAGACTGAATTCCTCTATCCATAGAGCAGGTATTCTGGCAATATAGCCTCCCTTCAACACCCTGCTAATGTTTACATTAGCATGGAGGGATCACTTCTTGTGATGGGGGGGGGGGGGATTTATTGGAGTGATTCTATTACATGGGATATTTCTTCACGACAAAGAAATACTATCAAGTTGTGTTTCATGTAAGACACTGAAAAGACACTGCTTGGCAATTACAATCCAGGCTTCCTGGGGCAGAAAGTACCAGTGATCTAGCTATGAAAGACCCCCTATCTAATTGCCAATCTTGTGAGCCATCCAGTCTGTCAGAAGAGAGAGTGTGCTGCATTTGCTCCTGAAAGTAGGATTGCCACACAGCAGCATGATGCACTAGCCCTTGAATTCACAAGTGTTCTTGAAATTGCTTTGCAGCAATCTGTCATCTAACTGTGAGCTATAGTTTATTTCAAAATCCTGATCCACTCCTGCTGTAACAGATAGTCTCTCCACAGCCATTTCCAAAATATACATAAGATTGTGTGTTCTCATGAATATATTTGACCTTTAAGATGTTGATCAACATGCATAGTCAGGTTTCAGAGTAACAGCCGTGTTAGTCTGTATTCGCAAAAAGAAAAGGAGTACTTGTGGCACCTTAGAGACTAACCAATTTATTTGAGCATGAGCTTTCGTGAGCTACAGCTCACGAAAGCTCATGCATAGTCAGTGACTAATGCAGCATGATTCCTTTGTAAACGGTGTTTTGAACCGGTCTACAAAGAAAACACCTATCTTTTTCCAGTTGGCAAAGGGGTGTAGCTATATTGCTGGCTTAGTTTGTGCAAATATGCTTTTATTTAAGCTCAAAAACTGGAATTCCAAACAGTTGAGTTCCCAGATGAGACATGTTATAGCATCTAGAGGATTAAGTTTAGACGAAGCGTTAGCTACTAATCACAACAAGCAATGTTATCCTTAAAGTAGCTATTCCAGCCCACTAAGTGAGCATGATTTGGCCTCAAATTGGGACGACAAGTGCACTTTTTATCCAGTACTGTATAGCATCCATGAGATGGCAACTTTGTAGAGTTCAGTGTTATGCCTTCAGACATGTATAGCAAAAGAAAAAATAGCATGATGGAAATGAACAAAAGTGCAAGCAAACACTATAGATGAATAATAGTTAAAGGATGATAACCAGCACGGCGAACTTATTTAAACAAAAAACAACACACCCCTGATGCCTAGATACCCACATTTTCAGAAACTCATTAGGATGTGGCCTGACTTAGAGAGGTACTCAGCAACCTCAGCTCCCATTGTGAATTAAGAGACTCAAGCTTTGCCTAAGTCTCCTATTAAATAACTTAGTTAGTAAAACAGCATGTAAGGCTATGTCTACATTAAAAGAAAAGGAGGACTTGTGGCACCTTAGAGACTAACACATTTATTTGAGCATAAGCTTTCATGACTTACAGCTCACTTCATCGGATGCATTCAGTGC